AAAAAAAAAAAAAAGTGCCACTGAAGAGTCATCCCCAGCGCACCCTGAAGAGGTCATTGGCATCCTCAGCCCTATCTTTTCCTCTGCCTGTCGCTCCCAGCACAATCTTATCTTTTCAGAAATCAGACACTTTGATGGGTCTGCAGGGAGAAGCCACGTTGCGTCAGTCACAAATGACAATGCAAAGTTGTTCAAGAAATGGGACGCGCCGTGTAATTAATGGCTGCAGCACAGCACGAAGGCACGGGAGAGACGGCCAGTCTCCGCGGCTTGTTTGAGTCTTGGCCTTTACGCTGCAAACGCCAGTCAGAAAAGATCAAGAACAACTACATGGGGATTTTTAATCAATATCTAACCTGACAATAGGATTTGGAGGAAGATCAGCCCATAAAACACAGGCAGCACCACAGACTAATTGTATTTACTTCCTATTGACCAGGGACTCGCAGGCAGAGCACTCCACGGCCCAGGAAGGTTCGACACGTCTCTCTCAGAAAAGTGAGTCACCCATTTGCCTTGTGAGCTAAAAGCCGAACGTTTCGCTGGAGGTTGAGGTTAAACCCTGCCCTGGCTGTACCTGTTTTGGAACATCAGACTCATTTACTGGGTGGTGGTGAAGTGGAAGACTCTGAAGTAGATGCACAAAATACCTTCTCCCTCCCTCCTGTCTCACTCCCCCTAAATTCACGGTGGAGCTGAACAGAAACATTGTGCAGACGTTAGAAAAGTGTCTTCTATTCTTGGCCAGCACTTTTCTCTCCGGCTGCATAACCTTGAGCGCATGATTGAAGGATGCCCATTTATGCCTGGGAGATGCTGTCACGAATCACAGACCCCCATTCCTCCCACAGCAAAGGCACAACGTGTCCTTGTTTCTGAACACCACTGTACCACATCCACAACCAGATGTCCTGCAACACGCATTATAAATAGTCCCGTAGGAAACGTGCCTCCCATCCCCTCATCTCAATCCAAGGCAATTATCAGAGCGAAGAAGATGCCTGAACGTCGGCAGGCGCCCTGCGAACGCCGGCGAGCCAGACCTCAGGGTACGGCTGTGAAGCTCCGATGGTGCTGCAGTGCCGCTCCTCAGCCAGCAGCTTGCTAACTGTACAACGGCCAAGGCCAGCAGTTCTTCTGGGTAGCACACCACAAAAAAAATTACAAAGCTTGCGATGAAAGAGGGGTGATCTGCAAGGGGAGGCAAGCAAGGGCTGGCCAGCCCGCAACAGAGCAGGATCTGGGGCTGCCCACAGTCGGGGAGGACTCGGGCTACAGGGGCATGGGTAACGGGCCAAAACCATGAGAAAGTTATTGACGGAAGGATGGGCAAAGCTAGAAAACACTCTCTGAAGGTAACGAAGAAACCTTTGCGGTTTGGGAGTGAGCCTCCCTAAAGGTCACCGTCCAATTTTAGGCTGGAGCTCTGCAGTTTGGTTTTGCGTCATCCCTTCCTCTTGGGATTTAATAGGAAGGGCTCTGCTGCCTGCCCTGAATTTCTTCAGAAACGGGGGCCTGCCTTAACATTTTCAGTTTATGTGAAAACATTTCATGAGCCGAGCTGCCCTTCAGGGACCCTGGGAACCTCCCGGCACCTGTGGTGACTGTGCCCGGCTGAGGGCTGCTGCTGGGGGGCCCAGCGGCCCCTTTCACCCCGCAGCACCGGCACCTCCCCGAGCAGCGGCTGGAGGATCCTTCCACCACGCCCCGGCCCCTGCTCCTGCGCAGCCAAGACCTGGGGGACCGCCCGGTCCCCTCTGCTTCACAGGGACACCCGGGGCAGGCGCTGGCTTGGGGAGCACCGCAGTTACCCAGAGGGAATTCAGAGTCTCCTTCGAATTCTGGTGCCGCACCACGCACCACGGGCACCGGCAGGCGGACGCTGAACAGCCCAGAGCAGCTGTTCAGGGCCGTACGGTCAGAGGTTGTGCTCGGTTCCATGCACTGAACCGAGAACATGTGATGGCCTCTTCGGGCCCACCTACACCCCGCACCCCCTCTTCTCGCTGCATCCAACCGCAGACGCGGGTCAGGGCCTCGAGGGGCTGCGGGGAAAAGCACAACACGTCTGCAGGGTCGGGGCGGTCGCGCTGCGTTTTCAGGGGAGTCGCAGCTTTCCTCCGTGGAGGGGAAATGCTGCTTGCACCGCTGCAGCGAAGTGTTTTCCCCTTACAGGTGGCATTTACATGCAGAGGATGCAAACAGAGCTGAGACACACAAGAACCTCACAGAGGACAGTGACATTTTGTGCACGTTCCCTTTGATCGCGTCCACGGCGTGAGCACCGTCCCCTGCGGGTCGTGGGGCATCTTTCATGCAGCAGTGACAGCAACAGCGTCTTCTGTTTTAATATGGAAGCACAATTGCAAAACCAGGGGGAAAAGGGGATTATTTTCCATTTGCTTCTTGAAACAGATGTCACCTTCCTCAGACCTGTTTGTTTTCAGGACTGCGGGGGTTTAATCTTTAAAACAATACTATTATTACAATATGTGTCAAATGCTGCTTTCTAACAAAAGAAAACAAATTGCTTCCACTTTGTAAGCAACGTTAACCAGTCAGTAATACAAGCAGCTCCACAAACATCGGGTTAGCACCGCGGTCCAGCGAACACCCACCATGGGCAAACTCCCACGTGTGAACCTGAGACCCCCACCGCAGCCCACGGAGCCCTGGGGGGACCAGGCCACTACCCAAGCCCTGAGAAATAGGAGGAGACTCCACTCGACTCCTCCGGGGGATTCCCTGTGCCCACAGCCACCAGAAGAAAAATCACCCAAAAAACTCCCTCGAGACTGAACTCCCACTGGAGGAGAGCAGCTCCGCTGCCAGGCTGGCCACAGGGCTCACCCCAAATTCAAACACAGCCGCGGGGCTCCTTTCTCTCCCACGCCATCGTGTGTCAGTACAGCAGCCGCCTGCCTCAGAACGGAAAAACACAACTGGAAACCTTAAAAAAGTCTCCCTTGAGCTGACTCTCTGCTTAGGGAACATCTGAGCTGGCATCAGCTCTCTATTTTTGCTAGAGAAAATATATCATAGCTCTGCCAGAGACGTACAACTCAGAAAATCCCCATCGCTTCAGACAAACAAAATCCCCGCGAACGGCGACGAGACACGGGCCCACCGAGCTGCCTGGCAGCACCCAGACACAACCGGATCACCCCAGGAGAGAGGAACTTGTCGTCCTACCTGCAGAAGCCAGTAGCACCTTCTGTGAAACGTGGGGATGATGGAGGAATGGACGTAGCAGCCGTACAAGCACTAGGACAGAGAAAGAGAGAAAGCAGAGCGGGGTTAGCGAAGGAATCCATCACCGGGGCGGCTGCGCGCCGCCCGCCGCCGCAGGGTTTGTTCTGACGTCGCGCCGGGGCCGGTAACACGCGACGCCAGGTTACAGCACCCCGAGGTTTTTATTAAAGGCGGCCCCAGGTTACAGAACCGCGGCGCCAGCAGCCCGCCGCGCCGGGACGCTCGCTCACAGCAAACGGAGCGTCCCGGGGCCCGGCTCCCCGACACGCAGCGGGGAGGTGGGCTTGCTTGGGTGCTTCTCATCTATGCTTCAGCAGGTTTTTACTGTTTAAAAAACACAACACACAACACAAACATCTCTTTTCCCGTGGTTTATCTCCTGGGTACGTAAACAGAAAATTCAGCGTTCATAAACTGAAAAAAATGGCTGTCAGGTATTTTATACAGCACAATGCTGAAATACAGTTGCTTTTTTTCCTTCTCTTTTAAAATGAACTCTGCTTTGCTGATTAACTGAAATCAGTAAGGCTCAGGAATTCTTCCTGCAGGGAAAAAAAAATTAAATTTCCAGTATGTTAAAACTTTTCAACACCGCTGTCAGTTGGAAGCTAAGCCCAGCGCAAACCAAACACACAAAACTGGTTTTAATTTAAAAGATCCCGGTACAATTCCTGTCCACAAGATTTGTTTATTATTAAGAAAGCAATATTATTTTCTGACTCTGTTGGCTTTCAATATAGTGCACATGGGGGATGGGTGTGCGTGTAATGATATATTCTCCCATATCAAAGGTGATTAGTTTTCCTTAAATGCGAGATTGCAACAGCCCAGCAATCTGCTCGCAGCTTTCCTCAGATATTTCCCCTGGAAGATCATGGGCCACACATATTTTAGGAGCACCAATATTCTGCCATTACAGAAGGAAAAAATAAGTAAACCCAACTGCAGGGGATTTTTAATGGGAATTTCTGTCTTTGTTTTACTCCAGCAACTCCATGGATTACAATGACTCTCACGACTAACGCGCTCTTCGCTCGCTGCCATCATGGCCCCAGCCGTGCCCAACACGTGTTTCTGCAGATGTCTCGGCGCCAGCGGCGATGCCGAGGTCGACGTGTGGCATCGGGGCTTTACCAGCGCTGGGGGTGCCCCGGTGACGCCGTTATCCCGCCTGCGCGGGCACCGGCCACTCAGCGCCAACACGAAGGGGCTGGTAGATCTTCGTTTATAATCCTTCTGCCTGGGAGGCGCCTCACGAGCTCTGAGAACACGCGGCGAGCAGCCAGCTCGCCAGCCCCGGCAGCGCCAGCGTGGCCCATGATGGAGCGAGCGTGCAGGTGTGTCGGACGTGGCGCGTAGCACGCGGGGCGGCCGGCGGCAGCGCCTCCTCCCCGAGATCACCACTCACAAGGTCGGCCTGAATTAAAATGGATTTAAGGCCTGCTGGCTGCTATCACTGAGTTATTTTTAAAATATGAATGACAAAGATTAATAATATTTTTAAATGTGTCAAGGGTACATTCCTCACGCGAAAAAAGCAGGGAGAAAAAAATAGAGGGGGGGGAAAAACCTGCAGAAAATAATCCCAAGAAAAGCTTAACATTTAAATCCTACCATTCAGCCTGGGGAAAAGCAGATGCTGTTTGTTTCAGATAATCCCTGACAGCGACTCCTGGCTGCGCGGCACCAGGGGCTGCATTAAACCATCTTTAACGCGCGGCACCGCTCATCCAGAGCGGGTCCCCCCGCCCCGGAGAGCAGCGCGGGAGCTGCAGCATCTCCCAGTCCGACCAGCGCCCCAGCAAGGACGGGGAGGCTGGGCCGGAGCTCGCTGCTGGAGAAGCCTCTGCGGCAGCAGGGAACGGCCACGGCGCCTCATGGGCCTAAACAAGAGAGACCAGCACCCCCATGGCGCTTCACACCCCGCGGTGCTGCGAGGCCGATGGAAACTTCACCGTGGTTAAAACAAAAAATAGCTCCCTGTAGCTCGCTGCACTGAGCAGGTAGGAAATCTGCTTTCTACCTCCAGCTCTGTCTCACACACAATTCTAGCGGTGCCAGCAACGAGTTACATAAGAGCACGCAGAGCAGGTTTCCAACATTCCAGCGAACCACTAAGAAAACCCTACAATTCAAAGAATTTACAAAGCACCCAGAATACAGAAGTGACTTTTGAAATCTTCCTCTTCTTGCCCCCCTGCCACGTGGCACAACACGGGGATCTGGTTCTGGGTTGATGTTTTGGGGCTGGATGTTCTAACTTGGGCAGCCGGGGTGAGGGACACCCACGCGTAAGCGACCCCCGTCGGCGAGCCAGCGGACGGCTCGGGGGCACCGAGGTCCCGTGGCTGCGGTGGGAGAAACACCCCGGGACCCAGTTCTGGAGTTAAGACAAAATGAGTGATGGCGGCAATAAAAACTACATTAACTTTTTGGATAAAAAAGGCAGAAAAAAATGTTAAAGATATAAATAGAAACCTCAGAAATCTGAGCTCCGCTGTTTTGGAGGATGTTCAAGGTTAATGAGTTAAGCGCTGTTAGATGGCACAAAATCTCAGGTTTGATGGCGCGGTGCGGGCGGGTTTACAGGGACAGACGTGATCTTCCTGCGCTCGGCTCTGCTGACCCCCGTCCCCGACAGGGCAGCGACCGACCCCTCGGCGGGTCGGGGCCGAGCGCCCGGGCAGTGGCGGCTGCTCGATGTCCAACGCGGCAACTAATTACCTGAACGGAATTACCCCCCTGGCTGGCCTTAGGAGACAGGTAACCAGGGCACGCCTGGTGCCTGTGGCTAGAGGAGTCTTTAAAATGAATTCTTGCTCAAACAGGCAACAGGGTTTCATTAGATGGGTTTTCTTTCTTTTTTTTTTTTTATCAGGGAGGTAAAAAATGAGGAGGCCTGTGTGTCTGTGGCTATATTAATGCCAGGCTGGGCGCGCAGCCAACGCATTAAGTGAAATCGAATTCCTGAAACCAGCTTTAATCAGCAGATTTTTAAGGTTAGAATGACTCTCTCCTCTGGAAGGCTTGCCAAGGTTAATTCTGTCCTGAGCAGGCTGAATTAATGGACTGGACAGGGGAGAACATTTTTTTTCATGATTCTCTTTTAAGTTTACAAAATCTCCAGGAGAAAAGAAATGGCACTTCTGAACCGTCTGAGGAGAAACGCCACTTCAGCAGCTTATCGATTCCCGCTTTGAGAACCAAGGCCGAGAGGCGAGTGGCCATCACCTCCCGCCGGCACCCACCGGTCCCTGGAGCTGCCCCGCGCGGCACCGGCCGGGGGGACGCGGGCTCGCTGCCGTCGCCGTGGGATGGCTCCGGGGATGCCCACGGAGGGACAGGGATGCCCACGGTGGCAGTGCGGCCGCCCTTCGGGGAGGGACCTGCTCGTCCCTGCAGTCCTGCGGCGTGTCGAGCCGGAGCCTGCGTGGACATTGTCGTCGGGTCCCACGGCGGTGGGGGATCCCCCGCGCCGATAAACCAGCTGAGAGCGGCGACCCCGCAGCTCCCCCGAATGCAACATCCATTCCTGCCTCCAGAACTCGCAGCTATAAGCCCCTTCTTTGCAGCCCCCGGAGAGCCAGGCCTGCCAGCTCCACTTCATCTGGCACCTTTTTAAAATCGACGGATAATTAAAGAGAAAAGGGCCTTCTCTGGGCAGAGGGGGAGAGCTGCAATTACAGCTGCCTACCCTGCCATTTATATGCAGTCCACATCTTGCATTATCAAACTTTGGAAAACCGGAGGGGGAAAAAAAAATCAAAGTATTAGTGGATTTTTTTTTACCCTGAGCTCCTTAAAGTGATTGTGGCTTATTTAAAAATAATACAGTAATGCTGAGGTGTTCTTCCTTAACAAGAACACCTTGGGAATGGAAATAGGAAAGCAAGAGAATCAAAAATTCAAGAGAGGGTTGGACAGGCTTTGAAATTCGTCTCCCCAGTGAGTTACACTAGTGGATACTTAAAAAAAAATAAAAACCACCTAGATTTTGTTCAGATTTTCACACTGAATTCCCAATTCCCTTAATAAGAAGCTAAATCAATCTTTAGAGAACAAATCACGTAAGACCTGTGGCTCTAAATTATTAAAATATACTGGAGTAATTTTATGGTGTAAGGTTCAACCTCCAGCTCCGGAGCAGCCTGCAGACCTCACGCCACTTCTGGGGGAAGAGGGACGGTGCCCTGGGACCACGGGGCACCCTCCTGCCACACTGCCTCTCCCGAGCAGCAAACCCCGAGGTGTCTGTCCCCTTCCTCCCCAGGGGCAGCTGTGTCAGCGTCCCCCCCTCCCTGACAGCTAGTTTTTCTGATCCAACTTGTTTCTTTTGGAGAGGGAGGAATGAACCTGCCGGGACAGGGCATGTGATCCCTGCTCAAACCCTAACAGCTCGGGATTTGCACTGAAATCCCTGGACAATCTTTTCAAACGAACATGCTCATGGCAAGAGCAGTAAAGAATACCCCAAATAATGGAATCTGACTCCCAGAGAAGTGAAACCAAAACATGGTTTAAAAAGGGAAAAAAAAAAAAACAGGAAATCATCAAGAGTGGATGTGCAATTTCTCACGAAAAGGCTCCTGAACCAGGAGAAGGCACCTGCTCACAGGCGCTGCCCCCCGTTCACACAGACAGCACCGCCACCCCACTCCTCTCACCAGCCTTTCCACACCCCAGCACCGGCACTATCCAATCTTCCTGAAAGCAGTTTCTCTGGATTTCATACAAATCACGATCTGAGAAGTTTGTTAGCTGTTTGTAGTAACACATTTGTTTTACATGTAGGAGCCATTTTCCGCCTGTGTCTGTAACAAGTGCCCACAAAATTCTCTGTTGACCTTCTCCGACAGTTGGAACAGCAAGGCAACGGAAAGCCTCGAGTCTCTAATGTGAGCTGCCTCTTGGCCACCAAATTAGCAGCCGTCGGGGAAAACCCTCAAATTTTCTGTGTGTCACCTCTCTTTTCAAACAGACCTGAAGTGAGAGCCCTCTGAGATCGGGTTATC